GCCTTGCTCCCAAGTGTCTGGGGATTTGCAGAAATGCTTCTGGTGCCGGAGATTAGGGAGAAAAGCTTGTAAACATGAATCCCTGAAGATCAGAGAGAGAGCCCCAAAACCCACATCAAAAGGTAAATAAAGGGAGTTGCCAAGTTGCTATTTTTAAAAGTACCTTTTTTTTCTTTTTCCTTTCTTTAATAGATCATTACTCTGCAGAAAACTGTGGGGTAACTGTTGATATTGCTGATGTGTGCTGGCCTAGATTCTGATCGCAGTGGCTCTTATAGGAGATTTAGTTTAATTCCATGTCAGTGCAGTTATCCCGAATTCACATCACTGCAGCTGAGGGCTGTGATTGCCTGTGGTGGCCATCAGACAGAGCAGAAGGTGGTGCAGGGTAAATGTGACCCTGGCTCTTGTTGAGTTAGAAGGAAAGGCTGCAAAATACAGCTGAGAGCTCGAGGGCTGCACAGCCATTCTCCACAGCCCTTCCTGCAAGAAGCTGCAGCCTTCTGGCATGGGAGATGAAGCCTTTTGGGGACAGAAGCCCGGGTGGTCATTTACTTGCAGCCAGGCTGGGATGACCTGTTTGGAAATTGATTTGAATCCTTACTTATAGGTAAGCCAGCAGGAAACTGAGTTGAGTTGGATGGATATAAATCAAGTGTTTGCACTGTTTGATCACTGTGCCCTTTGAGCTGAACTGTTCCTTGCTTTGGTGCAACATCACTTTGTCTTCATAGTGTCGATGGGGTAAGTGGGGCACGATGCACAGTGCAGGGGGCCTACCTCTGACAGGGACAGGATAAAGATGAAACGCAGCAGTACAGCACATCTTCATCCACGAGAGCATCCCTCCTGGGCTATGCTAGGCACAATTTGCTGATCCAAAGAATTGCAGCTGTTCTGAATAGACATGGTTTAATGCAACCGGTTAAACTCTTCTGCATATATCCTGGAGGAAAGCTCTTAATGCACGTTTTAAAAATACTTTGCATTGACTTCTGAAGCATCTGGATCTCTGTGTTGGATAACCATGAGAGCAGCCAGAGTCAAAGATCAGATTATTTTTCACTTTGACTTGTTTGTGTTTCATCTTGCTGCACGTATGCGTATTTGTAGCTGTCATGTGGTCTCTGATGTGGATACGTGTCTGTGCAGGTGCAGGGGCTCAAGCTGCTGCAGGAACAGCCCAGGCAGAGCCCACATCCTGCTGAAACCTGGACTTTTTCAGTGATGTGGTGGTTTGTTTTCAACAGCCCTTCCTCTGCAAGGAGCAGCCCAAGCTTGGAGCTGTGACCCACATCACCCAATGAGAGGCTCAGCCTTGGCAAGTGCCTGGGCAGCTCTGGTGCTCTGACTGCTCCGTATGAGGGTTTGGGATGCTGAAGGCTGAAAGCAGCTTTCCAGGCCAGGAGAGGTTTTACATAATCCAAGCTGACCGTGCTCAACCCTTCATTGCTGTCTAGCTGCTAAATTATTCGTAGCAGACTCTGGACTACTTCAGATCCTGGGTGGAGAGCAGAAGTCCTGTGGGCAGTGCAGGGCATGGCTGGGAGATGTGTTGTCCCCGGGAGGGTGGGGGACCCGGTGTCCCCCGCAGTGCAGGATGAGGGCTGCAGCTCTGCTGTTTCTTTGCTTCAATTGCAGCTGGCCGTCCCTAAGCAGAGCCTTAGCTGCCCATTTCCCTGCCCTGTGCCTGCTGAGCAGGGCCGCCTTTCGCTGGGAAGGGGGAAGGAAAGAACGCAGCAGGGAATGGCACTGCACAAGGAGGGGGAGATGGGGTTGGCAAATGTCAAGCTGTTTGCTTCCTGCCTTCCCTCTCAAGAAAATCTGCGGGCGGAGGTGGCGGTGGCTCTCACTGAGGACGAGGCCCAGGCTGCGGCCAGGCGCACAGCTCTTGTCTCAGCACTGGTTCTGCAGAGCCCTCGCTCGGCTGCAGGCAGCAGCCCTCATCCTGCAGTGCCAGCACGGCCTGCTCTGCCCGTTGGCTGAGCCTGGTGCCGCACTGTGCCCAGCATCCTGCTGATGTAACGTGGGCACCGCAGTAATGGTAGCACCAGGTGATGAGATGGGCCAACAGGAGGTCCAGTGTGGCTGCGGTGTGAGATCTGTCTCCACTCTGCCTGCAGCCCTGCAATCCCTTTCCTCCAGCAGCTTCTGTGGGGTTTTACACTCAGTTTCCCTTGCACAGCATGGACCATCTCACAGAGCTCTCACAGGACTGTCCCTGCCCATCACTTAAGCTGCTCCCTGGCTCTGCATACTTGAGCCTGCTGCAGGGCCCCGTGCTGTCCTGAGCCACAAGGGACTGGGGGTCAGAGAGCTGTCAGGGGGGCCAGCAGTTCCACAGCACTGCCAAGCATAGCCTGCAGGTCAGGGCACGGCCTCCTGCTGCAGCCCTTGTTGCAGCAGCCAGGTCCCTTTGCAGAGACCTTATCTGGGTCAGTGAGCAGAGCTGATCAGCACAGGAGGCTGAAATATTGTTTTGTATGCTGCCTTGTAGTAGCACTTGGGGTGAAAGAATTGGTTGGTGTGTGGCTGTTGTAGGGCAGAGCATAGCACAGCCTCATCTTAGTGCATCCTACTGCTCTGCTCCCTGCACTGCCTTGCTTCGCTTTGCACCATCTTTAAGCACTGGGGTATGGACTGCAGCTGTCCAAGCCAGGTGCATTGGATTCTTAAAAGGGAAAAACATTTCTGGAAGATGAGAATCTCTGCTCATGCTCTGCTTGTTCTCAGACTGTGTGCTGTTGTGGTGTCGTGGTGCTGGGAGCACGGAGGGGGGGGGGGGTTGGGAAGCTGTGAGTGCTCCGATCCCCAGCAGCTCACAGGACATAGGGCACAGAGGGAGCTGATGGTGGAGCTGAGCACTGTCTGTCATGCACCAGGAGCAAGGGTGGGCTTAGAGAGTGATTGTTCCGACACAGTATCAGATCTGTTTCTTCAATGATACAGTTGCTACTACAAATGTGTATTGATAATGGGTTGTGCTACAGGCTCTGCATTTTAGCAAGGCTCCTTTGCGTTCTGCTGCTGTAGATCTCCTCAGCTGCTTATTCCTGCAGCTGTGCAGTGTTTGGGATGAACATGGGGCATCCTGGCTGTGGTTTAGTGTTTGCTTTGGGTCCCTGAGCCTGCATGTAGTCTAGAGCAGCAGTTTCACAGCACTGAGGTCATCTCCAAACACCGGGTCAGGGGAGAATTTCCATGAGAATGACAAAATGAGGTCCCTGCGCTATAGCTGAGGGAGGTGCAGGGCCTGCAGTGCTCTCAGTAGCACCGAGGCCCTGCTCAGCTGCAGGCACTGCAGGCACAGGGGACACCTCTGCTTTCTCACTCTGTGCCACCTCCCTGTGGACGGGCACTGCTTCTGTCTGGAGCCAATGGGAGCCAGTGTTCTGTTTCATAATAGGGAAGTGCTGATGTTAGGATGCCCTCCTTACCCGGAGCTCTCCTTGAAGATTGCTCCTCTTTGCTTTCCTAATTGCTGCTGCTCAGCTGGAGGTAGTGCGTGCCTTCCAAACACATTATTTTGTTCTGCTGCTGCTTACTAAAGGGAAAAGAGAATATGAGAGAATATTGCTTTGTGCTGAGTTTTTCTTCTTTAACCTTCTGTGTGCTGACACTTCTCTCTGATGAGGAACCTTCTCTGGCAGGACGCAGGACGCAGCCCGCAGCTCAGCTCTCTGAACCCGCTGCTGCTCAGCTGCAGGTGCCTCTGCAACACAGCCTCTTACTGGGGCATCTCCTTGGGAATAACTGCTCCCACACAGCGAGTGCCTGCAGTGAGAGGCGAGGCAGGAGGTGCTGAGTTAGTGCTGAGCTTGGGTGGGATGGGGATCCAAGCACTTCGGTGCAGCCCTTGCAGGCAGCAGTGCTTGGAGCTGCCCATCACGGCCTTGGTGGCGGAGGAGGGAGGAGGAGCTCTGCAGAACAGGGGCTGCAGCAACACTTGCAGGGAGCAGCTGAGCCCTGCAGCTCTGCAGGGGCCAGGCGAGGCCAGGAGAGCAGCCCTTTGCTCTGATCAGAGCTCTTTCCTGTGGCTCCAGCCCCCAGAACTGCTTTGCTTAAGCAGAAAGGTCACGAGGAGGCTTCTCTGCTGAGGCTCTGAATTTGTTGCCAGTCACCTTTTAGTGAACAGGGGTGCGACCTGCTCCAGCCCATCACTTTTTGGAGGAGGAAATAGGGTGGAATAAGTGATTTCACACTGTATTGGAACAGTGCCTTCTGCAGTGTTTCCATCCTGTTCTTGAGCTGCATGCTGTGCTTATGGAGCACTGCGTCCCACCACCATTGCACACCTCACCCCTGGCATAGCCCAGAGAACCAGCCAGGGTGCTGCCACCAGGTCTGGAAGTGATCCAAGGAGGGTTTGGTGTTTCAGAAGCCCCGTGCTGGGGCTGGTCCCATCTTGCTAGGACAGTGCTGGTGCCCACAGCACTTCCTCAGGGCAAATTCAGCCCTTGGCAGCTGAAGGGATTGGTGTGGAAGAGCTGTGGGTCACAGCTGCAGGCTTTGAGTGCTGGCATTCACATCTGGGTATCTGCATCTGGCCTTCAGGATAAGCCTAATTCTGAGAGCTGTGTCCAAATGCTTCTTGAACTCCTGCAGACTTGGTGCCACTGTTCTCACATTTGCAGAATCTGGCAAGTGACCCTGCGGAAGGGACTCAAGAGCTGTTTGTGCTCTTTGGGGGTTCACTGAGATGAGGATGAGCACGGGTGGAAGTGGGGGTGCAGATAGTATAGGGGCAGCTCAGCTTTTGGCTAAGCAGGATGCCTGTAGCCTTCACATGAGAAGGAAGGCAGCTATGAAGCCAGTGGGATGGGCAGCAGGCCACATGCATCATTTTGCTTGCAAAGCCTTCCATCCTCTTTTCCTAAGCCTGTACTGTCACCTGGTCCATGTGGCTAACTTTCCTCTGTGTTGTAGCTCCAACTTTTCTGTGGGAAGGCTGCAGTATATCTCTGCAATATTGACTGTCTTTCTCTTATTTCCCTTCTTAGATCTACAATGAGAATAGAAACCTGTTTGAAGTCAAGGAGAACGTGCCCAGAAAATTAGTGGAGAAGGTTGCAGGGGACATTGAAAGCCTGCTGGCCAAGAAAGTCCGTGCTTTAAAGGTAAGGTGATGTGTGCCAGCCCTGGCTGACACTCAGTTTTGAAGAAGATGATTTATGCTGTTGTAGCACTACGGTTTTGGCTTTAAAGTAATTTCTATGGTTGTGTGGCTTTTTCTGGGAGCTGCGTCTGCCAATTGGCACTTATTCACATCAGTGTTTTTTGGAATATATCTGGCTGTCACGTGAGGAAGTATCCCATGAGGATCTGCTATAGGTATCTTGTGGATTTGTGTCTCCTCCCAGCGTGCCATTAACAGCTGGAGGTGCTGCCATAGGAGTACAAGGGACGGCCAACGCTTGGCAGCAAATTCAGTGATAGGTGTGCGGTGGGTGGGAGCAAAGGTGCTTCCAGTGTCCCTACAACAGCTCATGAGTATGTTACAGACAAGTAGGGTTTTTTTCCTGTTTAGAAGTGCATGAACCAGAATGTTTATGTGCTGATGCCTGGCTTTTGAATCCTGTGATGGACTACATATATGAGCTGCCCTCGTGGGTTCCCTACGTACGTTTCCTATCTGCCATCCCGTTTTGCAGCGCTCCTTGTGAAATGAGTTGATCTGTAGTGGAGCAAGGCAATCTGCTGGTAGTGAGGCAGCAGCAGGCAGAGATCACAGGGCTGTGTGGGTCAGGGATGGGACGGTGTGGGGCTGTCCACAGGGCTGACGTGGGTGGTGGACATGAGTTGGGGAGAAAAAGGTTGTTAAATGTTTGGCTTCTGAGTCTGGGAGGTGTAGGGCATGCTGCTTGGGATCATCCCTGTGTTTGTGCAGTTTGTGGGCATGCTTGAGCACATTTCATGCTCTACTCAACACCCCAGAGGTGTGCACCCTGTCAGAAGGTGCCAGTTGGACAGTGGCACACTTGGCAGCCTGCTACTGTTGTGACTCCCTTTGCCTTGGAGTTTTTGGGCAGGGGTGGTTGGTGCATTGCTAAAGGCTCACATGGTGCAGGGCCTGGCACAGGAGTGGTTCTCACAGCGCCCAGACCCAATAACCAGCACTTGGTGCTGCTTTAGTGATGGAAAAAGTGATCCACTGACCTGACTTAGTGCTTTCACAAGGCCTCCTTTGGAGGACTGCTGCTGGATGGAGCAATGTCTTGCAGCAGGCACGTAGGTGTTTGGCGCCTTGGGTTGGTGGTGCTGACAATATCTGGAAATGGAGAAGTTGGTAGGTTGAGAAGTTGGACCTTCCAGATAGCCTCCACGTTGTGCTAAGCTCCTCCAAAGCAGAGGGGATCCCACAGCTTCCTGCTGTGTTTTCTTTTGCCTCAGCTCTCCTCTAAGTTGATTCATCTATCACGGAGTCATTTCCTCCCCTTCTCTCATGACTCATGAGAGCAATGATGACTTCTTGAGATGTATTTTTCAGCATATGAGTCAGGTGGGACTCCGTGTGTCAGGGAGGGCAGGTGAGGAGGAAGAAACAGAGCCTCTCCTAGAAGTATGAATTGCCGTGTCACTCATGGCCTCTGAAAAGATGCCTCCCTGCCTTGTCTTCTGCAGGCGAGAGGAGGAATATTTCCTGTGCTTTGATGAGGCTTTGTAGGAAGGTGCTCGCTAGCCTTTAGGCACGCACGATGGATGCTCAGCGCAGGACTGGCATTCTGATGAGGTAGTGATTCAGTCCGGCCATCAGAGCCCATTTTCCTCTGTTTCTCAGTGAAAATATTAACATGTCATTATGAAAGTTCAACAGTGTGCAGAGCGTTGATTAATAATACATGGTTACTTACCCCGTGTGTTGCCTTTCTAGAAGCAGAAATGAAGCAGAAGGCCGCTGATGCCGATGATGGCTGGTAGCTGTGGTGCCGTGCTGCAGCACAGTGCCAATGCTTGTGGGATGCTCTGGTTCCCCACAGGCATTTCAGAGGAGTGCTGGAGCCAGGGGTGTGCGGCACAGAGGGTAATTGCTTCCCAAAATAAGTCATCTGCAAGGAGATGGTTATTTGGGTGCTGTCCTTCCCTTTTTGTTCCATCATAGCTGTGGTCAGTTTTATCATGGGACGGAAGGACTCCTATGAACACCTATGAATTCCTTGTGTTCCAGCTGGCAGTAGAGAACTGCAGCTACGGCTGATTGCAGGAGGCTTTCACCCCATGCCCCATGCAGCAGCCTCTGTGGGGCAGTGACCAGCACCAGCACTGCTGTCCTCTTCCTCCGGTGTCCTCCTGCATCCTTTCTGCAGGACTGGGTACCAGCTGAGGGGCTCCCCCTGGCTGCACTGATGAGCTTGCCCTCATTAGGGCTGAGAAAAAAAGTCTTCTACCCAACAGAAAGGAAAAAGGTGGTGGATTGCCATGTTACTGCTGGGGTGTCCATGTCTCTGCATCAGTGGTGTTTTGCTCATGCTGGAAGTCACAGCTGGCTGCCTCCTGCCTCAGCACATGTGAGGCTGGGATTCAAGAGGCTATTGGGTTGCCAAGTTCTTTTGCCACCCTTCTCTGCCTTAAGTTTCCTATCTGTTCCTTCATCTCTACATGTATCTAGAGGCACTCTTTCTTTTACGTGTGCCTGAAAGACTTGTACCTGTAGGCTAGAGCTGCTTTGAGCTCTTTTAGGAGGCTGACCACCTTCATTCTTGTCTTGCTGGTGTTTCACATCCTGCTTTCAGCAACTCCTGCAGGCTGGGATGTCTCTCAGAGCCACAGTGCCTGCTGTCCTGGTGAAGCCGGGGCTGAGTCATCATCTGTGGAGCACATGGGACTGCATGCCACCTCCAGGCCCCCAACACAAAGGGCGTCTCCTCCCATCACTCTGGTTTCCTTCCCTCAATGTAGCCTTCCCAGGACTCCCTGGTTCCCCAGTTTCCCATGCCATCACATCCAGCCTTTGTCTCCTCCTCTTTGGAAAGCCCCCGTGGAGGCTGAGGACGTGCTGATGTTATTTCTGCTCAGTGCCTCAGATAGTTCTTCTGTTGCCACAAAAGCTTCTCTGCAGTGAAGGTTGATAAGGGGAGCAGTGCCAGGAGGAGCCCTCGCTCGCAGTGCCCCAGCTCCTCCAGGCTGCAGGCAGTGTCAGTGGGTGATGCACAGAGCTGTGCCTCAGGCCAGTCGCCACCATGGCTCTGCAGGCAGAGGAGGAGGCAGTCTGAGTTTGGAGGAGGAGGTGGCCAGGAGAGGGATATTTTAGATCCCCGGCTATGTTTTAAGCTTGTTTCTACTTTTTTATACAGTTCTTGCGAAGGCTGTTTTGGATGACTGCTTCATCCTTCACAAATTTAAACACAGACAATTTGCTTTGCCTCCTGAGAACAGCACATCCCACAGTTTACTGAGTGGGTTATGCCCTGAAGCAAGCTATTTATACACCCTGACCTGTCTAACAGCTGCTGCTGGTGCTGCCGCTCTTCCCCTGTCTGTACCAGAGCCCTCTCCATCCCCAAAGCACCCCAGTGCTGTGCTGCATGGCACATGGGGAACAGGGGGCTCTGGCTGCTCAAGCCCTGGCTCCTTGAGACCCCGTGTCTCTGTGCAGTCACATCTGCTGCCCCAGGTGAGGAGGTGTGGGGCTTGCAGCTTGCACATGTTTTTCATCACTGGCCAAATCTTTTGGCTGCAGGTGAAGTGTGTTTTATTTCCCGTGGAGCTCAGCTGTGGGCAGCATGCAGCACGATGTCTGCAGGCACACAAGACCTCCCCTGTCCCCCTGCAGCACTGACTTGCAGGGAGGAAGGGCATCTGTGGGATGGAGGATGAGCAGAGCGGCGTTTCATGTCTTGGAGCATTTGTTATGTGCATGCATATATGCAGTGCCTGTTGCACACGCACAGCCTGGACAAATCCATTGCAATGGAGGAAACAACAGCAGTTACCTGCAGTCAGTTTTGGTTCGTGTTTGTTCTCTTATTGTGGAATCTTGTTGCATCTGGGGATCTTCTGTATTTTGAAAGCACGTTGCAGGAATGGGCTTCTTGTAGTCAGGGGGGTCTGAATGAGCGGCGCTTTGGGGGTTGTGGCATTCCCACCCCCTTGCCTGGGATGCTGTGGGGGAAAAGCTAGAAGCTGGGGCTCGCTGCACAGTGGATCTGCAGATGTAGGGCTGGGATTTTCTTACTGCCTTAAGCAAATCTCTCAGTTTTCTTTCCAATTTCCACCCACCACCCTCAGACCTTGGGTTTTCCCACTTGCTGGCACTTTTTCCTTGCTTCTTCCTTCTGCAGTGAGGGGGTAGTCAGCATTTGGCCAGGCTTCCAGCTCCTGTGATGGAGGCAGGGGGAAGCCGGGTGTGCAGCTGTGGAGCACAGTGCTGGGCAGCAACAGGCAGCGCTGTCAGCCCTGGCTGCACGGTGCCTTGCTGGGACCAGGTCCAGGCTCCATCTCCTGCTGGCACACGCATGTATCAAGAGTGCGGAAGGGATTTCATCGGACAGGTTTATCCCTTTAACAATTCTCGCTAGCCCCAAGATTTGCCTTGCAGGTATGAGGCTAACAGAGCCCTTATCAGCTCTTCTGCTCCCTGACAGGGACAATGAAAGGTTTCACTTGTCTGAAGAGCTGCAGAAATTGGCACAGGACGAAGCATTTCTCAGCCCGGCAGCGAGCAGCTCTGCCGAGGGACAAAGGATGCCAGCATCCTGCAGGAGGTGACACCTCATAGCCACCACAGGTCGGGCTTTGTGTCTCCTGGGCTGCAGGAGGCCCTGTGCCGTCCCACTGCCCTACAGCTTAACCCCAGCACCGCCTGATGCTGTGCAGGGATGTGCACAGCACACATGTTCACACCGTCCTGGCCGCAAAGCAGTGCACGTGAGCCTGCCTTCGTCCTGCATTGCATCCTTTGGCATCCGTGCAGGAGGGACCGCAGCTGGCATCCGCCTCGTTGTGCTGAAGTGCAAACCGTTTAAAGGTATAATCTCTTTGCCTTGTTAATTAATAGTGCCAAATCCATCTCTCTTCCTTCTTCGCTAATTGCTGGTTGGTAGCTTTTGTTCCCATTCTATCCTTAATTCCCTGCTCACCCATTCCCGACTGACCGTCCCGTCTGTTTGTTTGTTTCTTT